TATCGTGATGACATGCTCATAATACCTTAACTTTTGCACAAGTCATCACGATTCTTTGACAAATGAACATGTTGTCTGCACAAGTCATCATGATAATTTGACAAGTTAACATGGCATTTGCACAAGTCATCATGATGCATTGACAAGTTAGAATGGAGTTTGCACAAGTCATCATGATACCTTGACAAGTAAACATGCTGTTTGCACATGTCATCATGAAATTTTGACAAGTTAACAAGTCGCTTTCACAAGTCAACATGATACTTGGACAAGTTAGCATGTTGTTTGCACATGTTATCACGATGATTTGACAAGTTAACATACTGTTTGCACATGTCATCATGAAATTTTGACAAGTTAGCATGGCATTTGCACAAGTCATCATTATACTTGGACAAGTTAACATACTGTTTGCACATGTCATCATGAAATTTTGACAAGTTAGCATGGCATTTGCACAAGTCATCATTATACTTGGACAAGTTTACATGTCGTTTGCACAAGTCATCATGATACTTGGACAAGTAAACATGCTGTATGCACATGTCATAACGATAATTCGACAAGTTAACATGCTGTTTACACAGTTATCATGGAATTTTGACATGTTAGCATGGCATTTGCACAAGTTATCATAATACTTTGACAAGTTAACAGTACGTTTTGACATGTCAGCATAATACAAGATAACATGTCATTTGCACAAGTCATCAAGATTCTTTGACAAGTTCACATGTTGTCTTCACAAGTCATCATGGTAATTTGACATGTTAACATGCTGTTTGCACAAGTCATCATGATACTTTGACAAGTTAACATGCTGTTTGTACAAGTCATCATGATACTTTGACAAGTTAACATGCTGTTTGTACATGTCATCACGATAATTCGACATGTTAACATGTCGTTTGCACAAGTCATCATTATACTTTGACAAGTTATCATGGCATTTGCACAAATCATCATGACACTCTGACAAGTTAACATGCTGTTTAATAGTTTGACAAGTTAACATGTCGTTTGCACAAGTCATCATGAAATTTTGACAAGTTACCATGTCATTTGCACAAGTTATCATTATACTTTGACAAGTTAACATGTTGTTTGCACAAGTCATCACGATACTTTGACAAGTTAGCATGTTGTCTGCACATATCATCATAATAATTTGACAAGTTAACATGCTGTTTGTACAGGTCAGCATGTTCCTTTGACAGGACATGATGTAAATTGCATATGTTAACATGCTCAAACGACAAAATAATATCATCGTTTCACAAGATAACAAAAACATTGATTACATAAGACAGTCACGGCGTTCCATAGTGGAACATTCGACCGATGCGCTGGAGAGTACATGAACACATACGTTATTGTTTTATCTAAGGCAAATATTGTCATATATAAAAGTAAAACATTATTTTAACTTGAGCTATTGCTCATGTGAGTTTGTGAAAGCTGGAATACAGTCGTTGTTACAAACCTTTTCTGGCTATCTTTTTTTTCGTTATTCCAGAATTTGTTGTGGTTTAGAAATGTACTGTTTTACTTTTTGAGATTGTTTAAATGTTGTGTCATGAATATTTTGCTTCATTCCCTTTGTTTTCTATAGGAATCTTGTCTGTGTCAAACGACAACCTTATTTCCTGATCAAGAAAGTATTTGCAACAGAGCATAACATGATGTTTGTGTATTTGGGAATGACCAAATGGACACTAGAAATGTGGACAGAATATGGTGCAAAATATCTTTCTTCTTCGCTAATAAATACTTAACAATTGGACAGTCCCTACATTTTGGTGTTCTACACAGTTGAGTAGTATTGTTGTTTACAATGTAACTTATTGACTGTAATATGAAGATCCAAAAATGATGTAGTAAAATTTTAAGAATTACTTTTATTCGATTGTAGTTCTTTAAGGTGAATTTTAGATACCATTTGATCAATATAAGTACAATCTAAATTAGAAATATCACCAAGGTATTGTGAAGTGTTATTAAATGCTACTATAACATCTTGTTGTTTATCTGAAGAGGGTCTCAACATAAAGTCTCTATCATAGCAATAAAAAAAATCAGCGACCAGGGCTGCACAATGAATATTATTACACATACACCGAATTCCTATCATTTGTTTGAAAATGGTATTACCAAACCTGACATAAATGTTTTAGTGTTGTTATATTTTCTGGACCTTCGGGATTATAATGTATCGTACGATTCCTCATCTCGCAACAACAACTCATCCTGCCACCGTTTTACTTGTCAGTAGAACATATGACCAATGACATAGATAACAGAGATAGGCAACTTCCTAGCCAGTTAAAATATCACGCGTGTTATCTATATCTCTGATATGACCGAGTTTCAACAAATCAGTTTTCATTTTTCATTCACAAAACGCCAAAATCATCATCTATGTAGAGAGGAATTGTGAGTCAATGCGCGAATTTTAATTGTGACAGACTACATGTAATTATAACATGATGCCACTACTTTTATTTGATATCTTCTTTGGGAATGTTTATGCTTAAACCAAACAAATAGTTCAAAACAACAAGAACAATGACAAAAAAGAAAACCCTATTAAATAGTGCGCAATTGAATGTGCAATTAAACATGAAAAGAAAATGTTTGTACTTAGCACTTTTGTAATACACAAGTTTGTTTCACTTAAACTTTGTAATCTTCACACGATTTTATACCACTGGTGCATCTGAAGGATGTACTTTTAACGCAACATATGCAACAACCATACAGTAAAATACAAATAAATAAATGTCTCTCCTAAAAATAACACTATATTAATTTTTGTTTAAATATTTATTTTCTTAAAAATGCTGAAGTTCCTGGTTTTAACAAGCCACTCGTGTCCATCGTATTTTGAAGATATGACTTTAAAAACAACAACAACAATCTGAAAAGAACAGTTTGTTTTAAAAAAAAATATATTATGAATAATTAAAGGTGAAAACCTTTATGTTTAATTTGACAATCATGCATCCATTAGTGTATATGTATTTTATTTACTTCAAAAGTTTACATCGTCCGCCTTTGTTTACGTAATTATACATGTGCAGGACTTTTATTTTTCGAAATGAATACATGTAGTTCAAATACAAGAAAAAAATCCACATCCTTACTTAACATAAAGAAAAAATTAAGTTATTCATAGTTCAAACGGACGTAATCACTTATTAAAATTAATTTACATTTTGTTGTTTTTGTTGTGCGTAACTCCAAAACAGTATAATTAAGTCATTTTCACATTAAAAGATAGAGGCAGCCATTTCGTAGACTTGTGACTTTAATTGGACTTATCAGTGGTACTAATCGAATTGAACAAGGTACGTGTTTCGTGTTTTTGGTATCATTTTATATTTAAATTTTGTCAAAACTTTTTTAAACTGTAAAGTTGTTTCATATTAATTTTTTCGTTAATTTTTAGATTTAATGTTCTGTTATAGGTTCCGCAACACTACTCATTGACAATACAGCTGAACCATGTTTTGACTGTTGGTCATTATAAAAGATATAGTGTTATATACATTGTATGTCTTTGTACTGATTGATTTTTTTTTTTTTTTTTTTGCATTAGAGACAATCCATATTGTTACTTTTATAACAACTTGTTTCAAATTCAACGCTGCTTTCTCTATTTGATAAGAATCGAACATGCTCTAAACCGGTTACTAAAACATTACATAGACATGTTTGCCTTTTTCTTCAGGGGCAAAAATCTTATTCATTTCTGAGCTTCAGTTATGATATGTTGTACTATCATAATAATGTGTTTTGAACGATGACATTCACATACATGTAATTCAGATTTAGAAATAACGTTTGGATATAAAAATCACAATGAGTGATTCATTTTTTCTAGATATCTTATTTTAATTTGTCAATTTAGATTCTAAGTATGGGTAGTCAATCAAATTACCATGAATAACATAAGGGAAATTTTCTTACATGATTACGGAGTCAGCTTATGAGAGACAATGAATTATGTAATGTAATAAAGTAGGCTGTTATTATCTCATAGCAAGTTTCTCATACGTTGTATCCTGAATCTTATCGAATTTGCTTTGTTCTTGGTGTTTTTTGTTTGTTTGCACGGGTGCGTGTGCATGTGTTTTTTTTGTGTTTGTTTTTTGTTATTGTCTTTTGCTGCTTTACTCAGTGCCATTTATTAAATAATTTAAAGTATATTTTTTACTTAACTAAGATTCTAATCCTTACAGGAGCAACATTTCAAACTGTGTTATTTGACCTCTTTTGTGTTGTCACAGAAATACATTAGCTTCTACAATAATGATGTATGAAATTTTGTATTGTTTTTTTTTCCAGGATGAGGGCTTATATACTTATTTCTTTTGTGTTATTATCCCCCATGTTGATGACGTCAGAAGGCAATCGAGTGACAGTTAAGTGTAAAGCTAAGTGTTTGGATAACTACAACGTGTGCGCAAGTGCCTGCAGAAATGTTTTCTTTGACATGCCAGAAACTTGTGAAGGAAGGCAATGTCGTATCCCAAACAAAAAAAATGCATGAACAAATTATATCAAGTTTGTGAATAAATCTGTAATAAATCATGTTGTCCTGATTTGTTAATGCAATTTGTTCATGATTCATGAAATGAATCATAAATAAATTGTGTTTTTACTGGAAAGTAAAGACCCCATTTATTATAGATTCATTACAAAAGTCTCTTAGTTTAAGCATTCACATATTATTAATTCCATGATCAGCGCAAAAACGTAAAAAAATAAGAATCATACAATCTCATACAATCAGATTTGAAAGTTAGGTGGTCCTTCCAGAAGTCAGGTGGTCAGTTATCATTATTATATCATTTTACTGCAAATGTACAAAAAATGATTAAACTGGCTGACAAAGATGTATTATTAACCTTTAAAGAAAACATATATTTTAAGATATATATTTTTCATCTTATCAGAAAAGGGAGAGCAAGTCAGTAGGTATTCTATCGTAGAGTTATTTGTTTGTTTGTTTTTATCACGTTCAAAAATGCACAACAGGTTTTATTTATGGTAACTTTTATATTGAAGTGATTTCTCCCTCAACTCAAGTTAGGGAATAGTGAAACCATTTGTGTTTGTTATTTTCTTACTGGTATTCAAATATTCATTGCTGATACGTGGTACGTCTTATAATCATGATAAGAACATAGTATCTTTTATATATTTACATTTTTAATGAAACTAATAAATTATCTTCTTCTTGTCTTTGAAAACAAGGAAATATCTAAATTATTAAAATAATAGCAACGTTATATATAACTATAGTTTAGCTTATTTTTCTCATAGATTTATAATACAGAATTATCCAAGTTATTTCTCATTTTGTTGCTTTGTTGTGCGTAACTCCAAAACAGTATAAATAGGCATACGATTAAGTCATTTGCACATTAAAAGATAGAGGCAGCCATTTCGCAGACTTGTGAATTTAATTTGATCTTTTTGTGGTACTTACCGAATTAAGCAAGGTACGTGTTTCGTGTTTTTGATATCATTGTATATTTAAATTTTGTCAAAACATTTTTTAACAGTTAAATTGTTTAATATAAAAAAAAGGTATTTTAATGAGAAAAAAAATCTGATTTATCTATCATCAGTTAAGCAAACAGGAGAAATAATGGGAAGGGCATGACAGAAAGGAAACTAGATGTTTAGACTGAAAATATTTGAATCAGTGTTTTTATTATTAAATTATCATATTTAAATCAAGTCTGTTTATTGTGTGATGTTGAAATGCTCATTGAGCCCATAAAATGTTTTTTTTTTTATTTCTCAAAAGTTTTTTTAATGTTTATTCTTAAATTTAATGTTCTGTTATAGGTTCCGCAACACTACTCATTGACAATGCAGCAGTACATTTCTATACCTTTGGTGGATATCTTTTGAGTTGTTACAGAATTTGTTGTAAGAAATGTGCTGTTTTTACCTTTTAGATTTACTTTACATAATTGTTAGAAAAACAATGATATCTAGCGGAGTTCTGAAATTCTGCTTTATCTAGAAAGCATCAGTCAAAATATTTATAATAGGAATGAGACCAAAGTGTAAAGTTATTGCCAATTATAGTTTTAAAATTGATTTCCCTGGCTGCATGTTAAAACTGTTAATTGAAAAATTTGAACAATTAAGAAGCTACAAAAGTGTTTACAAGATCATATGAAATTTCATTTAAATGAACAATTATATATCATTCAATTTTTTTTTAATGTTTAATTGAGGGGCTCATTAACATAAAAGAAATCATAAATCAACAAATTATACATAGTATTTTCCCAGCACGCACATCGGTATTATATATATATCAGAATAGTGAAAACGAGTTTATATATTAAAACATGACAACAAAGATCAATAAGAAAAGGCGACATTCAATCAGAGCCCCCCCCCCCCCCCACCGACAAGGAGCCCAGCAGGGCACCATCAAAAACAAAAGGGCAAGAGGGATATTGCATGTTTTAATTATCCCTCAATCAAACCGAGTCTGCAATTTTCATGTTATTTTGTTCTTATTAAAGCTTCCAAGGGGTCACTCTTCCAGATGTTTATACTTTCAGCAGCAGCAGATGTCAGCTAAAAAAAGTTGCCCCATACTTCACTTCAATGTTGTTGTATTTTTCTAGTCCTTCCAACAATTTTAAGTGTTGATAATTTAGGGCATACAAGATGTTGCACGTTTAAATAATCCCACATCTACACATTCAATCAAACAGAGTCTGCAATTTTCATGTTATTTTGTTGTGATTAATGCTTCCGAGGTATCACCCCTTTTCCAGATTTGTATGTTAAACATTTTTGAGTGGGCAAAATCAATATTTTATGAGGATTTCAATTGTCTTGAATTTGTTACAATTGCAGATCAAAATTGCTCATACAGCAGTGGTTGCTGTTAATTCCCCACTAAAGAAAGAATACATGTAAATGAAATACTGTATCATCTTAAACTACACTTGATATAAACTGGGATAGCGAAAGATTTAAATTTGTATATGGATTCAATAAAGACATGTTTCGATGACATGGTGATCAGCTAAATGGTCAGTTTTGTTATTGAGAATTCATATTTTGAAATACACCAATCTTTAACTTAATTTTAAGTGGCAACAATCTTTTAAAAAAAGGAAGAAAATCATTGCCCACATACCATTGTATAAAATTCTTATTCAGAAACTGCATTATTACCATTGTTCTTATCATACAATTAAATGGTTTTCATCTTATCTTGCAAACAGAACACAGAAAGTCAGTGTATCAGGTAAACTGTCAGAATCTGCAGAAGTTATATCAGGTGTTCCCCAAGGATCTGTCCTTGGGCCCCTGCTTTCATTATATACATCAATGATCTCCAACTTCATTTAGAGACCTCAGAAATAGACATGTTTGCAGATGACACCACACTTACAGCATCAGGACATTCACCACAAGAACTACATGATAAACTTCAAACCAACCTCAAACATGTAAACAAATGGTGCATACAAAATGCAATGGTGTTAAATACACAGAAAACAAAGGCAATGCACCTTACATCAAATAATTCACAGCTTCATTTACCACCTTTACACCTTCAAGATCAAATGATCCAATTTTCTGAAACCGAAAAGTTACTAGGTGTTTTTGTCGATAGTAAACTAAAATGGAAAATCCAAATAGAAATGATACTTAAAAAATGCAACTCTCAGTTATACCTACTTCTCAGAATCAAGCAATACCTAGACTTACATGCAAGAAAACTATTCTTTAACTCATACATCTTACCACACCTAGATTATTGCTGTACTATCTGGGGCAATTGCAGCAATGATCTGATCAATGAAATCATAAAATTCCAAAAAAGAGCAGCAAGAATAATTCTAGATAAAAGTTACGATGCACCCTCCATTGATTTGTTTAAAGAACTAAATTGGATGAGATTTGATGACAGAATGATATACAAAAAAAGCAATCATAATGTTTAAATCTATCAATGACATACCATATCCACAATACATGCAAATTAAATTCCAATTTGTTTACCAAAAACATGAGCGCAACTTAAGATCTACAAATAGTTCAGACCTAGTTGTTCCACGACCTAAGAAAGAATTTTTCAGAAAATCCCTAGTATACTCTGGCCCTAAAGTATGGAATAATATCCCTCTTAACATAAGAAAATCTAAAACAGTTCAGGAATTTCAAGCTTCATATCTATCCTGGCATTTTTCATCATTAAATTAATCATTTTATAACAAAATTAGAATCTAATCATTTGATGTACCACCTAAAACATATTTCCCACTTCGTTTAATTTGATATGTACTTCTTTGACATGTATTATGCTATGAATGAACTGTAAATCTTTAACATGTATTACTTGTTCTGATAATTTCAATGTACTGTAAATTGTACCACAATGTTGTTGCAATTATTTCTGTAATATTGTAGTTGTATATATTGTAAATTATGTTTTCCTTAGAGGCCCACATGGAAGATTGGGAAACCAAATGTGTAGCCTTGATAAATAAAGCCTTTACTTACTTACTTACTTACTTACTTACTTACTTACTTACTTACTTACTTAAATAAATAACAAGGTTAGCTTTTAAAAAAGCTAGTAGCGACTCGCTTCGTAATTTTTTTCCAGGGGTGCGTTTAAATGTAAAAATGACAGTTCTGTTAGCTGAAGAGACTTGAGCGAACATCAAAATAAAAGTGATGGAAGCCAGTTCTCTCAGTTTAACAAAGAGGAATATGAGTATATATGAAGATGCACGTAAACAGATAAAATGAAGTCCCTATGTCTATGCACATTTACTGTATGACCTGTTGACCTTGACCAAATAAATGTTAGATAGGTAGAATTCATAACTTTAGATGTCTCTTTATACGAAGTTAAGTTGTAATATGTTATTTAGTATTGGAATGAGTGACAGACACAAGTCCTAAAGTAAACACATGTTGTCAATCAATTCAGCCAGAAAAGCCGGGATCCTATTTAAAATATAGGGATCCCGGAAATTGACCAGTCTAAGATGTTTTTCAGATAAGCCGGGATCCTATTAAAACATATAGGGATCCCGGGAATTGACCAGTTAGAGAATATAGTTTTCAGAAAAGCCGGGATCGTATTAAAATATAAAGAGATCCCAGGAATTGGCCAGTTCAAGAATATAGTTTTCAGAAAAGCTGGGATCGCATTAAAACATAAAGGGATCCCGGGATTTGACCAATTCAAGAACGTAGTCTTTGATTTTTCCAATTAATTCGGCATATAATTATATAAGTATTGTGATTTCCGCATTTTTAAGTTTGTTAATAAATAGCTCTAAATATATTTATATCCTAAGTTTAATTAATTTAACGTTCATTACATACAATAAAAAAAACTTAACGTTTAATGGCCTTTCATTACGACAATAATCAACACAAATATAGTTTATTTGTTTTTCCTCTATATCTTATACGATCCCGGATCCCGGCCAGTCCGGGCGTCCCGGATCCCGGCCAGTCCGGGCGTCCCGGATCCCGGCCAGTAAATATATACACTAAATACCGGAAAAGATAAAATGACCGGAAAAAAGGAAAAAGAAAAAAATGCACAGAACCAGATGTACACTTATGTTAATTAACCAAACGAAAACTTACTACAGAGGAACAGGTGAGATCGCTAAATCAAAAGTCAGTGTAAATATGATTTATTGAAAAGAATTCATGAAAACAAACATTTTAATCATCAGTATATCTTTGCGCTCAAAATAATACTTGCTGCTTTTTAAAAATGGCGTGAAAATTGAAGGTTTTTTGACGCTATGTAAGATTAAATTTGATTGGCTAAATAATTTTTGATCCTAGCCCTGATAGATAAATTTTGTAGAAAGCTGGAAGCCAAGCTTCGATTGAATTTTTGGATGGATTCGGAGTTTTAGGTTGTTTCTCAGTAAAATCCTAACGTAATACCGGCTCGCCGTGGCGAGCCGGCATAAAACATTTAGCGGTGTTCATAGTCGTTCCCGCAATTTAGTTCATCGATGTTACAAAATTAGGCTTTTGAGGAAATTAAAAATTAGCCAACATGCCGAAGAAAAAGACCGGCCAGAGAAAGAAGGCTGAAAAACAAAAGGAAAGACAGAGGGATATAAGAAAATCACACAATGAGCGTCCAATAGTTGAACGGCCTTGCAACTTTTTAATGGTATGTACTCAAAAATTGTGAACGTCAAATATTAAAGTGCTACCAATTCGGATATTATTATTTCGGATACTGGAACCTTAAAAATCCTCAGGTGGTGACCGGGTTTTGAACTCTGGACCTCTCGGTTACAAGGCGGACAATCAACCACGTCGATAAAGTGCTAACACAACAGCAGGGCTGTTGGAAATGGCATACACCTGATCGGTACAAGTCAACCCGGCCCCAAGTCAGTCCGTCCCCAAATTGGTCAACCCGGCCTCAAACCAATGTTATTTCTGGTCAACCCGGCCCCATTTTATTATTATTTATTTTGCTTTAAAATATAAACACTTATCTAGAAATAAAATCAAAAAAAAAAAATTCTTGACACAATGTTTTATAATAATAAAATGATTTTACATGCAAAATATCGTAAAATTTTGTCCATAAATAAAAAAAAGTTATAAGTTATATTCGAATTACGTTCTATAAAAGTCATATCTGTAGCGATCAGAAGATACCGAATATGACTTATATTTTATAAATTGATTATTTTTTTATTAACTTTTCTTGATTAATAATAAAATGATTTTATATGCAATATATCGTTAAATTTGGTTTATAAATAAAAAAAGTTATAAGTTATATTTGTTGGTTTTTTTTTATATAAAAATCATATCCATGAAGAACAGAAGATACCAAATATCATTATATGACTTATATTTTATAAAGTAAGTGGGTTTTTTTCTGTCTGGATTACAGTGAAATAACATGCAAATAATCGTTAAATTTGGTCCATAAATAAAAAAGTTGTAAGTTATATTCGTTGCGTTTTCTATAAAAGTCATATCCTTGACGCATGAAGGACCGAAGATACCGAATATGACTTATAGTTCATAAAGTATTTTCTTCATATGATCTTTTATAATAATAAAATGAAATTGCATGCCAAAAATGGTTAAATTTAACATAAATAAAAATGTTACATGTTATATTCGTTGCATGTTCTAAATAAAAGTCATATCCGTAGCGGAAAGAAGATACCGAATATGACTCTTTAAGTTACATACATGTATAAAAGTCATATCCGTGGCGGATTGAAGATACCGAATATGACTTGTTGTTTCCAAACTTGTTCCTTTTATTTCTTTTTTGGGTATTTTTTTTGTCACATAATTTATAATACATGCAAAAAATCGTTAAATTATGCCCGTAAATGAAAAAGTTACAAGTATTAATATTCGTTGCATGTTCTAAAAGTCATATCCTTGGCGGAACTTATATATGTTGCATATTCTAAAGAAAAGTCATTCCGAATATGACTTATATTTTATAAAATTTATCGATCTGCTTCATGTATTATTATTTTAACTTTATATATAATGTAAATGAAGTTAAAAACATACAAAAAACTTGCGATTTGTTATATTTTGTAGTTTTATCATAGAAAATAAATCTGATCATTTCTGTTTCACGAACAATTATGCTTTTGAAATTAATTAATATATAATTATTCAATATCACTATTGCGTATTAAAGTCTTAATCGGCGCAATTAAATTTACCTACACTTTTATGCCAGTTCATGTTTTTTTTTACTATTGTTCAACAATAAATAATAAATCATTTTTATTCCATCATACAACAAAATGACTTAAATAATTTTCTTTGAAAATATATATTTTGGGGCCGGAATGACCGATTTTGGGGCCGCATTGACCAATTTTGGGGCCGCATTGACCAAATAAAAATACTGTGGGGCCGGATTGACCAATTTTGGCGCCGGGTTGACCATTTTTGAGGCCGGGCTGACTTGGGGCCGGGTTAACTTGGGGCCGGGTTGACTGTAATTCCACCTGATATTACTACACTTCTCCCCATTTTATTTTTGAAAGGCAAACCTATAAACAGTACACACCTTTAAATACAAAGTCTGAATCATCATCACTGTCTTTGAGCCAATACCTTATGCCAAGCTTATAAAGTTCCCCGTAGAGGACAGTCATATGCTAGATGACCAGTGCCATCTTTCTGTCTGTAATTAATGGTTAGTCAATTCACGATGACTGCAAATGAAACACTATAAGCATTTTCATTGTTATTTTTTACCTCGTCACCATTATTGTAAACCTGAAAAATCCTCAGGTGGTGACCAGGTTTTGAACTCTGGGAATTTTCGATTACATTTTTTACAAGTCGGACACTTAACCACGATGCTAAAGGGTTAGTGGACACTCAACCATGTCGCTACAGTGTTAACCCATTAGCAATGTGGTTGAGTGTTCGCTTTGAAAACGAGAGGTCCAGAGTTCAAAACCCGGTCACCACCGGAGGATTTTTCAGGTTTACAATACTCATCACGCTAGAATGTGTTAAAATTTAAATTGTCGTTGAGTGACTGATGTAATGCTTTAAGCCTTTACTAGATTTTCGTTAAATTTAAATCGGATATTATAATTAGTTTGAATTTGTAGTATATATTTGTCTTTATCTTGTAGTTCAATCAGATAATCCGTGCTAGTGATATCACGGAATTTTCATCTACATGCGTAGCAATCAATTCTGATTATGACTAGCAATGAACATTGTCCAACAATATGTCCAATAACACGTTTGTCCAACGATGAAAAGTAATAATTTTGCCAAGTGTACTTTTATTGTCAACAGAAAAAAGCTGTGCAAATTATCTTACCCAAATAATGACAAAAGCCTTGAAGAGACATGTATATGTAAGGACATAAGCTGGAACATAAAAAGTCATTTTAAATGCAGAAAGTACTGCAAATTTTGAACCAGGGCTGTGTTTTCTAATTTACTTATTTTAATTAATAGTTTCAAATTTTTAATTAAATGTACATGTTTCAATGGTTTAAATTTTCAGGAATGTGAGCAGTGTGGGAAATCACAGAAGAATCGAGCTTTCTGTTATTTTTGTAACTCTTTACAAAGACTGCCTGTATGTGGAGCATGTGGTAAAAACTAAAATATGATATTTAATATCACTTATACTTTAAAGATATTTAACATATGACTGTTCACACAATGTTGGAAACATAACCTGTCTAAAGTCTATATAACCAATTTATAGTGCTGCTTAATTGTTTCCCTTGATCAGAATTGAAAGTAAGTTTGTAAATAGTAGTAGCCATGTGTATTTGTTTATTATAATTATACATTGTGTACATGTCAGTAATATTTAAAAACTTACTGATTGTCTAATGAAAATTGTTCTTACAAACATACAAACTTACAAACATTGTTCTAAAATATATACATTTGTATATTATTAATTTAATATTAAAGGGCCTACATGACCAAGTGGTAACATCCATGGCCACTGACTCTGAAAATTTTTCTTTGACCTCTGTGAATTTGAATTTGACAGGCGTCTTTGAGCAATTTCAAATTTATGAGAAACCATCCATCTACTTTCTGAGAAATTGATGGCTCGGGACTTTCATTTGGCAAAATGCAAAGTTTGGTACCAGAGGTCTTCCAATATAACTTGGAAGTTGACATTAGTCTTTACACTGTTGGTGTGAATTATGCCCTCACACTTCACTACTGTTAAAATATTTTTTATATTGCCACTTATTACATGCTGACTTAGATGCACTAGTTATAGGAACTTACTCTAGTGTCAAACACATTTCTCACATATTACATAGTTATAGAGAAATTCCCAACTTGAAGTGATAGAAACAGATTGTAATGTTCATTATTTGACTATTACAGGGAAACAGAAGTGTATGATGAAGACAGGGGATTGTGTGATCAGACACCCAGGACAGTATACTACAGGAATGGCCATGGTGGTATGTATATCTGACAAGTTTATCTGTACCCGCACATTTGTATATTTATATTTTGTTTTACCCCTCAGGCCTGTTCATCCACCATAACTTCTATAATGCTTTATACCTTTTTTTACCCACCATTTCTTCTTAAAGAGTTTGGGTGTGATGAATTTTTTTTGTTGTTTGACATACCTATTTTTTATGTAACATTTATTTAGAAACTTAAGAAGTTTTTAATGAATTTCTGTTTTTAATATCATAAAACTGATAGGCTGGACAACAAGGCCAATAAGTTAGCATTACAAACTTTAAACATCTTGTCACATACTGTTCAGAGTTCAAATTTGTAAGAGAAATTCTTCTGCTCAGACTTCCCATTAAAACATATCTGGGCATTTTTCAAAACTTGAAAAATGTAGATGGCATTGATATAGCTTTAAAACTCAAATCCTGCTTTAAGGTTGTCTGCAAAATTTTTGAAAGGTAGCCTTTAAGATATGAACAAGTTGAAAATGAAACATTTCTGCTATTTTCATATATTCAGATTTCTATACCGTATATGATTTTGTTTCATTATATTTAGGGTGCTATATGTGATTTCTGCGAAGCGTGGATCTGTCATGGAAGGAAATGTTTAACAACTCATGCATGTACCTGTCCATTAATGGATGCAGTGTGTAAGGAATGTCAGAGAAGTGTAGAAAATCAAGGTATATTCCTATATTACCGTAGTTACGAGCTAGCTGGACAATCCTTGGTACTACCTAGGGTTCAAGGCTATACAGACATTCTTTAAGATCAAACTCAGATCTTGGATAATTGATTGGTCATAAAATACCACAGAATGTTCACTGATCAACTGAGATTTGAGACAGATCTCAGGAAAAAAATTTATAACCACAAGGCCAGGTATCACGCTAAGCCTGAAATATGCCACTAATGACTTTAAGCCACTTACCCTTCACTGCTGTGTGTTGAGTCCTGCCAGAGCCTTAAAATACTGCACAGAGGTCTTCTTCCACCAGTTAAGCTGGAAAGTCACCATATGACCTCTACTGTGTTGGTACGAGGTAAAACCCGACACCCCCCAAAAATATATAACCCATACTCTGATGGAACTATAGTGATTGACCTTTACCACCAGTAAAATATTTTACACCAACATGCACATCTATGAAATCTGACTAGCTTCTATACTGTTAAAAGCTAAATATTTGTATTTTAATGTTAAAATCCCTTAAACTTTGAGTGGACTGTTCCAAATTGATAGCAGGGCAAATTCATTACATAATTTCAGCAGGTTAAGTGTGAAAAAGACAATGAGATATACAATGTACATGAAGTTATTATATTATGTTTTTCAGGTGGCAGATTTTTCAGATGTTCATTCTGTTGGAATTTCCTGTGTGAAGATGATCAGTTTGAACATCAGGCTAGTTGTCAACAACTTGAGTCTGACTCGTATAAATGTACGTTACATTTTGTTTTCTGTCTCTCGGTCAATCGTTACATCAGTTTAACAATTTATTGTCACATATAAAGCATAACTTTAGAGCTGTCAGCGATAGAGACGAAATTGATGTATCGTTGATATTTTTCTATTGATCAATAAACATAGTTAAGAACAGTGCAGACGATGATCAGATGTGCCTGCTAATCTTGGTCTGCTCTGGTTACATGGGTAGAAACAGTGGCCACTAACAAGCTAAGAGTTAAGGAATTTTTAAATAGATATTAATCTTTGTTTGTGTGTTGACATAATATTTGCGGCCAGTTATTAATATTTTGTGTTTTAACTACAGGTGGTTCCTGCAATAAACTAGGTCAGTGGTCCTGTCTTAGGTGTAAGGTAAGTTGTTTATCTTAATGTATCCTCGTAAACTTATGTCATACAACATCGGACGATTTCAACAATTTTATAATTGGACATGTCTTTAATCAGGAAAAGAAATAATCTATAGTATAATGCAATTCATTTTATTTCTAACATCTTCAACACATAAAGTATTGTCGTGTGTAAATTTGTCCCTGTTTTTGAGTCAACACCCTTCCTGTGTTTGTTAGAAAGTCTATACATATTTTTGTTAAGAGAGGAAACAGTTGGATATTTTTCAACATCAAAGTAAATTTAATGTATCTGCCAAATTTCTTCAACATAGAACACTTTGTTTGTTTGAAAATAGAAATAGAAAAACTAGAATTCTGGATCACATTAGTAAGCCACATTGAATTAAAAAGAGTTTAACCACCGCATCATTCCTGGGCAGACTGTCCAGCAGTTTACCAGTACAAGTTCACTTTTTCCTTTCTTTTCGCAAGGAACTGATAAATTCTGTACATGCCAGAACAGAGGTACAGTATACGTGACTGTAGAAAGGATTTCATGATTAGTCACATGAAAATTGACTGCTTTGTCTGGGAATCGAACCCAGAGAGCCCGATTTACAATCCAGCACTCTTCCTAATGAGCTAACCGGATAGCTCCCATGTAATATTCCTTACATACAGCTACCTTGTATTACGATAATGTATGTTTTCACTTATACTTCACAGATATGTTTCTGTGATGATCATGTTAAAAGGAAAGGATTTAAATATGCTCGTGGAGCGGCATATCCTTGTCCTAAATGTGGCCATGATACACGAGAGACCAAAGAATTAGCTATGACAGGTACGTTACCTTTACTGACTGATTTCTTGTTGTAGCATCAATATTCGTTGTGACTATAAGTTTTCCAAATATCTTATATTTACAGCTTATTTTGTTCGGTTTACAGATTTATAGGTAAATGATGTTAAAAGCTCAAAGCTTATTTGAACCAGTCTTGAATCCCCTTTTTGAAACTAGCCAGTACTGTTGTCATATGAAGAATCATGGTTGTGGCACCAGTAAGGCTTGAACCCATGATCCCTGGGTTGAGAGGCAGACACCTTAACCACTAGGCTGCTGCTCACTGCTTATCATTTGCCTTACTGGTGATTCAGAAATAATGAGGGATTTGTAGTTGGTCACTTGCATGTCATTCTGAAAGTATTCAAAATATGCTTATAATTACAGCTTAAATGTGCGACATAATTGAAATATTAGTAACTCTTTTATATTTACACTTTGTATGCAAGACATTGTAAAAATATTTAAAATATTTCTTGTTTTCATCAGCTCGTACATACGACTTTGGTAGAAAAGGTGTTAACGAGGGTGCGGCGAAGGGATACACGTATGACGATGATTATCAGGATGAATATTCCTACAACTTTGGACAAGAAGAATACAAATTTACGGGATTTGGTGGAGTATCCTATGAAGGTAGAGAGAAAGAAAAAAATATAGCTTTTTCTTGCATTTTCTTTTGTGTCAGATCATATTAATTTAATAATTTGATATCAATATTTATCTTGAAGGTTATTACTCACACACAATGTTGTTGCAATGGATTGAAATAACTAGAGGATGAAAGTGCCAAATCGTTAATTAGCTTGGTATTTATTGAAACAAAAAATATATCAATATAATCTACATTTAGAGAACATCGGCGGTTCTACTCCGGTACTCTTTCGTGTCCAAAATAATGCAGAAAATGGCACTTGAGGTCTTCCTCCATCAGTAAAGCTGAAACGTGGCCATATGACCTATACCATGTTGGTGTGACATAAATTCCAACCAAAAAAAAAACTATGTTTAGTTTCATGTAAATGTTAATATCTGTTTGGACTTTTATCTTTTGAGGACATTATTTTTTAAAAAAAGAGATCAAATCATCCTGTTTTGGATTAATAGCTTTAAGTTTCATTATTATATAAGAGTTGCTTGCCACTTACCATTATGCTTTTTCAGTGCATAAGTGATATTGAATTATTATATGAAAGAAAGCTTTTCTGTTTAGTTTTTTAAAGTCACCCTAAATTGTAGGAGATTATCATATAACAGTGGCAATTTTGCGGCTCTATAAATACGGTATTGCACAGCTGTGCATATATTTTGATGTGAAGTCATTTGAGTCATACAAACATACTCATAGTGTAAAAACATGCTAAATGTTAGCATTACACTATAGGCGCATCAATGAAAATGATTCTTTTACACTTTTGAAAAATATAAATAGAATATTATATATGTGTAGGGTTCATTACTGAATTCTTGAAGTCATTGAATAAAATAATTTTATTGAATTTGTACAATAAATCCAGTATTGAACCTACACTTATTCAATATCCTCTATATCTTTGATGTTTGTTTTTTTTTGAAAGGTGGAT